ATTTTCGGCTGCCATGTGGCTATTTTGCCAGGATATGAGTCTTATCAATGGTGTCCCGCTTTACCGATGTTAAAATCTGGTCACCTTCGTCTTGGGGGAAGCCACAATCCTCCTTGGAGGCGAGGATGGGGTCTCGTGGCATGTACTTTGGACACGTTGTCAGGAGAAGAAGATGTGCTTTGTAAAAGGCAGTGAAAAAGCAGACGGATTCACAGCAGCTGTAACAATGCACTCAGACCTAAGAACCATGTGAGACGGGGCTGCACCCGGGCAGGCTTTCGTTCTTTTGTACAATGATTCACTGTGAGCCGAACCTCACACCCCAGAAGCCTTAGTTCTAAGGGGAACACCCTTCCTTAGGCCAAGTTTGTTTATTCTTTTCTTATGTCTACTTCAATTCACCCCCTGGTCAGCCCTTAGGTCAACTATCCCTCCCTGACTGCCCCCATTTATCAAGGAGATCAGTCAGGGCTACTTGCTCTCCCTGTCACCTTGAGATTTCACATCGGCTCTCCAGGGGTCAAAGTGGCTCTCCAGGGGTCACAGTGCTCACACTGTCATTCCGACTGTTTCAAGGTTTAGGGTGGAATCAGGGCTCTAACTGTGAGCTAAACAAATGCCTTTGGTTTCAGGCACTTCAGCAGAATCAATCCCAACACAGTGACAGTATAGGGCAGAGTAGAATTTTCCATAGGATTTTGGAGTCTGTAAATCCTTATAGAAGCAGACTGCCTCATCTTTCTCCCACATCAACCTTTCAGGTGGCATCAGTACGTAACTACTGTCCCGCCAAGACTCCTGGGCAGTATGTGTATTATAAAACAAATAGGCTCTAGCACAGTGCTTCTCAGCCTTCCTCATGCTGTGGCCCTTGCATACAGTTCCTCATGTGGTGGTGACTCCCCCAACCATAAAATTATTTTTGTTGCTATTTCATCACTGTCATTTTGCTACTGCTATGAATCGGGCGACCCCTGGGAAAGGGTCTTTAGACCCCCAAAGGGGTCGTGACCCACAGGTTAGAACCGCTGATAGAGTCTATCAGGTGGAGAGAAGCAAGAACTAAGAAACAACACAGAAAACAGTGTTCTGTTCGCCTCATCTAGCTAAGACTTGGAGTTGAAGAAGCCACCAATGGGTACAGACCCAAAGCCTCGCAGAGATCTACATTCTCTAAAACAAAGGATCAGGGAAGGCACAGCCTACAGACTAGAAACTTTTGTTTATTTAGTTTGTTTATTTATTTGTTTGTTTGTTTGTTTTGTTATTGCTATTTTAACCTTAAGATATCTTTAATAGAGTGTATAGAAAATAAAGGAGGTACCCAATACCTTACAGGTGAATGACCAGTAGAACCAATTATTGTGCCAATCATGCCAATTAAATATGTGGACAAAGGATTGTTGATCAGTAAAAATACAAGATTGACAAGAGCACACATTTCAAAACTGAAAAAAAAACAACAACCTTAAAGATTAGCCATAAATACATCAAACGTCAAACACCGTATTGTTCATTGTTTTCCCAGAAAGATATGCTTACTCTGGCCCAACACTGTCCATGAAGG